AGATGCCCCTGCCCACTTTTAAACCTCGTTATAAACAGGTAGCACCTCCACCAAGCCGATCTAGTTCCAGACAAGTCTTCTAACCTCCTCTCCACTCTGGCCAGGCGCATTTAATAAAAGCTTCCCACAAATATCCAAGAAAACAACCCCTGTTTCTTGTCTAAAAGAACCAAAGATTTGAGAGAACGCTGTATTTCCCTAATAAATGTGCTTCTTATAAACACTGCTTCAGGATCAAAGAGCTTCCTCTTGAAAAACTCTTAAGTAATTTATAAAGAAAATAAAAGTTCACGTGAATACGTGATTTTTAGTTCTAGGAAGTAATTTCAAATGCTGTCATGAAAACTTCAGTCATTGTGCAGGGTTTCTGTTACACTTTCATTCAGGGAAGAAACATTACCTTACCTTGCATTATGAAATAAGGTTTAGAATTAGCGTCTGAAAAACACCTCACATGTGATCCTTTTCTTTCAGGTCCTTCTTTTTTTAAAAATTATGATAAAATACACATAGCATGGAAGTCACAGTGTTGACCCTGTGGGTCCACAGTGACAGCAAACACAGCTTACAGCCAGCACCTCTATCCACCCCTAGAACTCTTCTTGAAAAACCGTACCTCCTTGGGTGTTAAACAATAGCCGCCTATTCTATCCCCATTACAGTCCTGCCGTCTACCACTGTACTCCCTGGCCCCACCTTGACTCCCAGGAACTTCAACTACGTGGGTTTCCAACAGTATTTGTCATTCTGTGAAGGGCTTATGTTTCTCAGCGTGACGTCCTCACTCCAACCGTGGGCGACCGTCGTACTTCTTTCTTCAAGTCAAATAATTTCATCGCATGTGTACCAACACATTTTCTTTCTCCATTTGCTGTTTTTGAGACATGAGCCACCATGTTCAGGCTGCAAGCTTTCTTAACCTATTAACCTGTCTATTAACCTGCCGGCTGCGTCTGCCTCCTGACTAGTTAATGATGCTGCAGTTGGCATGGGTGTGGGGCTGTTTCTCAGATCCTCTTTTCAATTCTTTCAAATAAATACCCAGAAGTGACACGGCTGATTTGGGGACTCACCTATTTCCCTAACAGTCAAACTATTTTGTATTCCCATCAGCCGTGACGAGAGTTCTAATTTTTCTAAAACTCCATCACATGGTGATTTTCTTTTTAATGGTATCTTATGGGCACGAACACGCACATCCCGTATGTTTAAAGGGAGTCCAACACCAGACTAACTCCGAGTGACAGATAAGACACAGGGTTTCAGCACCCAATAGCAGTGCTGACTGAGGCCTCTGGGAACCAAAATGGCTATTATATGGTCTGAATATTAGTCACTGCCCGGATAGAAGACTTGCAGATATTTTCTCCTGCTTCATGAGTAGATTCAACTATGCTGATTTTGTTCTTTCTTGCATAAAAGTTTGTAATTTGTTTATTCTTTTTATTTTCTATTTTCTTTGAGACAAGGCTTTGCCATGTAGCTAGTACTAGACTTGAAATGTGACCATCCTCCTACCTCAGCGTCCTAAGTGCCAAGATTACAGGCACACGTCACCAGGCCTGTCTGTGCGACTCTCTCAGCTATGACACAATCCAATTCCACTTCCTTCTCGTTTCTGATGTTTCTGGTGTTATTCAGTGCCATTCAAGAAAGTATTGTGAAATTCAGTTCCCTGAGACCTTCACTATGTTCTGATCTAAAAGTTTTGTTAACTAAGCTTTCTGGTAGACTTGTGATTACTTTCTCACTCACACCTGCCTCCTCTCTCAGAGAAAAGCTCCTCGCTGAAAGTAGGACCTGAGGTCTATAAATGTGGGCACGAGGGGCCTTTACTTCCTAGCAGACACAACTGTGTATACAGGCACAGATACCAACACAAACAGACGTCACAAAGGCCCAAAAGGAAGACAGGAGAACAACCTCGCTTGGTGACCGGGTGATACTGGGATTATACCTCAGAGTCCAGTTTCATGCCACCAATCTGAAGAACAGTGTAAGGTCTTTTTGAGACATTCAAGAATTCTAATTCAGGGGTTGTTATTAAAGCAGGTATTTGGGTATCTACACCCAAAGTTTCCTCTTTGGGAATTTTAATACAGTTTTCACACTTGCCAATTAAAGTTACTGTTATCCACACCCTGTTACTGCTGTTGTGCTTTTGGATGCTGTTATTATTACTGTTGTTATGTGTTGTGAAACAGGATCCCACTATTTAGCTCATCCTGACCTGGAACTCACCATCCTCCTGCCTCTTCCTCTCAAGAGCTGGGATAATAGGCATACATCAACATGCCCAGATTCTATGTTATTCTTTATACAAACTGACCCCGGAGCCTAAGGGTAATCACTAAAATATTTATTAACTAATACTTTTGAAATAAAAAGCTGCAAATTTCAATGGAAGTGTCTTCTTAAGTCAGATATGAACAGACCATAGTCAGCATAACATTTACTCATAAGGATACTACCTAGAAACAAGGCATGCCAGAGCAAGACACAGGCCAATTATCTTCAAGAGATCACAAGAGCAGGCCACACAGACGACAAGGAATTAGCCTTCACTCGGCACTACTGGAGACAGCTCAGATTCAAGGCAGTGGCACTCATATCCAGTCTGTATGAGAGGACACAATGGAAAATTGGACCATGGCTCTGAGTGTCATGTCAGACATACAGAGTTCTTAATCCTGGACCACTGATGAGTTCAGAGCCATGGATGAGTGCTAACTGAAAACTCTGAGAACAGATATGGTTGCTATACAGTACTTGTATCTAAAGCAGTGGTTCTCAACCTGTGGGTTGGTGTGGGTTGGGACCCTTTTGGCGCAGGTGTGTGTGTGTGTGTGTGTGTGTGTGTGTGTGTGTGTGAATGACCCTTTCACAGGGGTCACGCAAGACCATCAGAAAACAAAAACAACTAATTACATTACTATTCATAACAATAGCAAAATTACAGCTCTGAAGTAACAGTGAAATTAATTTTATGGTTGGGGGTCACCACAACATGAGGAAGTGTATCAAAGGGTCGCAGCATTAGGAAGGCTGAGGAGCCCTGCTCTGAAGAAACTTGTGAAGAGACTGGCTGTGGGACTGGAGAGTCACATTCCCCGAAAGAACAATGGCAAGGGTGGCAGCTAATCCCAACTTCCAGAAACTTTCTTTGCCAGCTATACTTCTAAATATTTTTCATGTGCTGATTTATCATAAAATCCTAATGAGGTCCAGACACTGTCCTATATGACAGATGAGGGGCTGAGAGCTCAAACAATTTGTTCTGAGTCTCAAAGCCACTAAATTGGAAGAAGCAACAGTTGAATCCAAACAATTTACCTCAGAGCCTGCACTGCTGTTAATCAGTGAACTACCCAGCAACTGGGTAAGAAACCATACCTACCTAAGATGGGGTGTGCTAAAGACAAGGCTGACAGTTACAGCACAGGGCTTAGCCAGGCAAACGCGGGGTACTACATGGGCAGAGAAAATGAGCTCTTGAGAAGTACCTGGGTTCCTTCATTCAGTGTCCATGACACTTGGTATTCTTCACATATCCTCATGCATATTTGTATGAGGACACCTAGGCTCAGAAAGTCCTCTATCTCTATTACCAAGCCAGTGACCAATTCTGAATGAGAATCCAGAATCACCAGCCCATGCCTTTTCTACTATCTACAGTAAGGGCACGAGGTGGTAGGTCAGGGACATCCCCCATCTTCTTCCCGTTGGAGGCCCAGCATCCTATCAGGAAGAATCTGAAGCCTAGGGATAGGCATGGTTATGACTCCAGGCATTCTTTCTAGTCAGCTATGCGTTATGCAGAGTGAACACTTGAGTCAACAGTTGTTTCAGGGACCTGTCTTGGATTTAGACAGGCAGGAAGGCCTGAAAAGCCCCACATACAAAATACAAACATCGAACCTCAGGGAAGTTCAAAAACACAAACCAGAGGGGGGCCATGACTATGCGGCTCTCCACAAAGAATGACTTTAAAAATACCCTAAAGAGAACTACGGGGCCTGGAAATGAGGGTCTCCAGACAAGAGCTGACTGCAGTGAACTGGGTCTGCTGACATTCTCTGCTAATCCCCAACTTTTAACCCCGAAGTTCTTCAAAACCATTCTCAGAAAAGGTCATGATGTAACATTAAATTTAAGAGCAGAACATAAAATTATACGTACACCAGAAAAGGAACTGATGGCAGAAATTTGATTATAGTTCTTTCTGTAACTTTCACTATTTGATTCTACACAAGCATTTATTATACTATTAAACACAGATTAAACATAGGCTGAGGGGGGAGGAGGGAGGGGAGGCAGACTGAGAGATTTAAACAAGACTTGGAAGAGGGGAAAGCCTGAACTTTACATAGCGTGTGCTAATGATGCCAAGTGACTCTCTAGAGCACTTGGTCACCTGCACAATGGCATTCACCTGTCATTCCAGTGCTCAGATCATCAGTTCACACAACCAGCTCAGGAAAGGCCCGATTTCAAAAGAGCAAAACAAAAACCATCCAATGGGTTTGGATATCCAAAAACACCAATGCGTTTATTTAGAAAGTACAAATTTCCACATCACAAGGATCTACTCAGAATTTCCTGGGAAACACCCCACCCTGAGAAAATTCTGCTTGTTTTTTCTCTTTCAGTAAAGGTGGGAGACGATCTACTTCTGTTTTGGTTTTGAGACAGGAGATCTCGCTATGCTATCTAAGCTAGCCTTGTACTTAGGCTAAGCAGTCTTCCTGCCTCAGCCTCCGGTGTGGCTGGGATTACAGTCACACACCAGTGCACCCGGGAAAGCTAGTTCTAACAGTCTCCCCAAGTTGATAATAGTATTTTTAACTAGGAAATCTTAAATCACTTCAGCCTTTTTCTCTTCTGTAAGGTTGTTTTACGACATATTTACTATAAGGACAAATGGATACAGAAATGCAAACATAGTGTTTAACACTGAGACGGACGACCGGAGCGCCAGCTTGGACAGCCTAACATCTCACCGTTGATCTCTGCGAACTTCTGGACATCACTCAGGGTTTTCAACTCTTGTCTTGGACATGCTGCTACGCACAGCGCTACAGACTTGATCTTCCTGTTTATCAAGTCCAGATTGCATGGATCCAAAAAGAACACATACCTAAAGCATGGAGAAAAGAACCAAGAAATTATTTTGCAAAACACATATGGTTTACTGCATACTCAACTAAGCCCAAAGCAAAGGCTAGCCTCCGCTGAGCTTTACCATCAGCGTTCCTCCAACAGACCCATCAGTGAAAGCCTGGAAAACAACGCCTTCTGATGCTAACAGAGAGAACGGGAGTAATGGGAGGACTTAGTAGTTTTCATGAGTTCTTTTCCTAATATTTACATCTTATAATACGCAGATTTTATTGCTGGAAATAATTTCCTTGCTTTGTTAAATTTACACCAAACATGATTAGAATATCCCATGTTGTGATTTAAAATATACTGCGGTTGCCATGGAAACTACAAACTGGTTAATGAATATTATTATCAAAATGAAAATGTATATATTATTAATGACCATACATCAATATGAATAGAAAGATGAATGAAAACTGGAAAAATATACAGCAACGTAACAGCCGCCTACATATATGGGGAGTTTTTAATTTCCTTTCATTTACTTTTTAGGATTCTGACTTTCTAAAAATAATGCAGATTACATTTTAATTGAAATATCCACAATAAATACTTTTTATTTAGAAAATCTCAAAGCAGTTACATAAAAATAATACACACATCCTACATTATTGCCCTCTGTATTTTTTATAATTACAGTTTTTAAAGGGGGACGCTTAGGCGGAAATCACAGAATTCAATAGATATTATCACCTATCCCCAAAAAGGGGATGCCTAAACATCCTCCAACAAGAATAAGAGAGTGTGTTGTTGCAGACCGAGGGATGGAGCATAACAAGGAGTGCCTTACTGAGCACGAAGTTAAAGAACACCAGCCCTGGCACAGTTCTATCTTGTCATCCTGTCTGTCCATGCCCCTCACCCCACCCCCATCCCAGTCCAGAGCAGACTTTTACAAAGTCAAGGGCCTTTCCCACAAACCAGTCAAATCTACAATACAAATACAACTAAATGTAAGAATTAGGTAATTGCTTTTCTCAGCCTTTGGCTGTAATCAGGTGAAGAAACAGGATTAAGCACAAAATTAAAAAGCAAAAAGAACAAAGCCAATGCACACATGAAGTGAATACTAGAAAAGAATACCATAAAAAAGGTGGAGAAGGCTCCTCTACAGATGGAGTAACAACTGTGCAGCACAGGGCAGCCAGGAGACCATCCAGGAAGGGAAGAATAAGCACAGTGCAAATCAACACACTCTTAGCGACTCTAAAGTGGTTAGTGTTCCCAAAAGAGAAAAGGAATGCGAAGAAGCCAGATGTGATTTGGAAGTAGGGTTTATGGACTGCTTCCATGGCCGAAAACAAGGAGGTAGTTAGTACAGGCAGGCACGGAGAAAACAGTTTCTGGGGACCCTTGGCAGAAACAAGCAACCTCTCACTGTTTCCCTCCATCTGGCCCATGCATCTGACTCAGGCAGGGTGTCTGTTCCTAAGACTCCAGACAAAAAACTGCATGAAGCCAGATTCTGGGCAGGGGACCCTCGGGTCCTGGAAGAGGGGTGTATCAACTAGCATCGCCATTACCACCAATAACAAGAAGTATTTATGACAGTAACCATGAATGGAGCCCATGCTTATTGAATGCTCATGTGCCAGACACTCTAGACAGCTCTGTGTACAGACACATGAGGTCCACACAATAGCGTGCTGTGTTCCTGTGAAGGCGGTGGAATGCGGGTGGGGGAGAGTAACCGAATACATCGTTCTTAATGATAAACGATGCCTTGAGAAGCATCCAGAGAAATCACATGACAACAGAAAGCAGGTTTACAGACCGGGAAAGAAAGCCAGAGGCTACTGGGCCTTGCAGCTGGGACTGGGCTAGATCAAGGACAACCTCCTGGGAATAGAAATTTGGTCTGGTTGGCCTGCTTCCTAGGACAATGCCAAATGCTAAAACTGCCCTGACTGCACTTAGTTTAGACACTGAAACACCGCAGTAGTTTGTCCTTGTGAGTGGGTAGACATCTCGTATTGTGCCTTGCTTACACCAACCTGAGCCTGTGCTCTGGTTCTTTTTTTCCCCCCCCCCCGAGAAGGCATTGCATCTTAAACCCACGCTCTCCTGCTCTGGCCTCTCAAGCAGCTGAGATTCTCGGTCCTTCCCATCCTCTGCTTCTAGGCCTCCCTTTAATAGCTCTCTGGCCTAACGTAAGGGAAACATTTTTCCTTCTCAGCCTCAGTTTCCTTATTTTTACAACTGCACACCATATACTCCACAATCTACTTTAAGGCCAACGATGGCACACGCTGAACAGACAGCGTGTGTGTGGCAGTTCTTAGCAGTGTCGTCAAGACTTTGACAAAAGCTGCATGTGAGGGTAAGCCATTCGACTCCACTAGTTCTGAGAGGGGTGCGGAACAACACTAATACTTAGTTTCCAGGAGAGAAAAGCCTGCATAGATACCACTGGGTCAAAAGCCTCGGTAAGAACTAAGCAGCCCCCTGGAACAGGTCAAGTAAAACAAAATGGGTTAAGAAGGCAAGTGGAATTCTACATCTACCAACCACTATCAAATTAATATCATTGATTATAAGTATATGGTTTCAGAAAACTCATAACCCATAGAACCAAAATATAATTTTAAATGGCATCTTCAGAAATGGATGCTAATATACATGCTTAGTATATAAACCTTTCCGAGTTCCAAACCTAAGAATTCTAATTATTAGATCTAATTCACACACACTAACACTGTGAAAGGCGACTGACAGGCCCTAGGTTCTAACTGTGGTGTTGCCTTTTGGATAACGGAGGCTTTCTCTCCCTCTGACAGTGAAATAAGCTATCCCTCCATTTACAGATAAGGCTAGCAGCAGCAGGCAGGACTGCAGTGTCTCATTCTGTGTGGTGTTAGACACCTATGACCAACCAAAGTGAGGAAATAAGAAAAGGGAATTTTCAGAAATAAAAAATATATTAAGTTTTGAATAACTGTGATTATAGTTGTTGGTATGATTGCTCTATTTCATGGTTATTATCAACTTCTTACTGTGTCTGATTTATTAAACTTTATTACATGTATGTACTCATAAAAGGAAGAAAAGAGGTACCCACAGAATTTAGTACAATCCAGAGCTGCAAAGATCTGCATTGCACACTGGAATGCTTTCCATGATAAGGGGACTCATTTGCAGTTAACTGACAAACAGAGAGTGTCTTTCAACCAAGAGATACAGAATAAGAGGCAACAAAACACTGCCTGTCTCAAAGCCTATCCTAATTCCATTCTCCCCAGCACAGGAATGTTGTAGAAGCTCAAATCTATTAATAACTCAGAAACAGCTTTGTTGAAGTTTCACCTCCTTTAGAGGACCTAGATGGATTAAATACCCGCATTGGGAATGGAGGAAGGATGAGAAACAATGAGAATACTCCAGAAACTGAACAGTCTGGACACTTGCAGGTAGGCACACAGCATGCTCAGGTGGTCCAGAAAGGACATCTGCAAAGGGAATTGCAAACTACCTAGGTAAGCTTTGAAGTTCAGAGCGTGATGGGGGCTGGAGAGATGGCTCAGTCGTTAAAGGCTAGGCTCAAAACAAACAAACAAACAAAAAAAGGGGGCAAGGGAGACGGGAAACAAACCACAAAGCGTCCTGGCTGTACTGCAAAGGAAGTGCTGCTGTAGAGGCTGGTAAAGGAGGGGTATACATACCGCTCCATTCCAGCTAGCTTCTGGGGTTATTTGAGGAAGATACTAAATAAATCCACTTTAACTCGGAAGTCTGGAAATGCAGTACCAAGCTATGTCCAAAAGGAGAGAAAGGGAAGAATATAAAAATACAGTGGTCTCTCTGCACAGTACACAGGAGGACATATGCATCCATCGTGAGAACGAGGCAAAGGTCAAAGAGGGAGCACTACTAATCACTGAGTAGAGGCGCAGCAAGGAGGTGACTAAAAGCTCCGCTCAGAGCAAAAAGATGAATTATGAGATGCCACTGAAGGTTTAAAGGTAGCTCAAACCTCTATCTTGCTTTTACTACCTTTACCAAAGACAGGAGAAGGTAAAGATAATGCGATTTACTAAGAAGTTACTGCGTGGCACAAAGCATCTGAGGATGAGCCCTCACTACCCATAATTCAACAGCTAAGGGAGGAATCTAGAAGGCGGGTGACAACTGGAGGTCACGTGAACTGAAAGTCTGACCCAATCCCAACTGGAGAGGGAAAGGGAGGGCAGGGACAGTCAGCGACACACCAATGACTGGCTGCTTAGAGCAGGTCTGTAGCAGAAGGAGCCCCGTCTGCTCGAGATGCAGCAGTTCATTTTGTGGGGGAACAGCACTCAAAGGATAAGCATTCCGCAGGACTTAATTCACAGAGGAGCATCCCATTATCCCTCAAACACTGCTAAGTATTTACTCCCAGGAAAGGCCTTCTCAATACAAAACCCACAACGCACAAATTTTGAATGCAAATAACTTAGAGGCTTCAAGAAAAAGAGACAGAAATACAACTAGTCATTCTGAAACCGCATGATGTGTGTGAGGTTGAAATGGCAGTAGAAACTGTATAGTTTTGCGTGGAAGAAAGGGGGTGAGGGAAAGCATTGGGGAGGGGGAGGAGGAATCTAAGCCGCATTTTGAAACCGAGTAGGAATTTTCCAGACAGATGGGAAAAGGAACACTCCAGGCAGAGGAAACCGCATGCCTAAAAGCACAGAAGCATGAAAGAGCATATTTAAGGAACTGCAAATAATCGGATAGGGCTGACTACAGGGCGGAACATCAAAGAGCTATGTGCCAAGGAGAAGTGGGGGCAGAGGTGGCTGTCCTTAGAATCCAGGAGATCTGACACTCTGTTCCATAAGGCAGTGTGTGGTCACATGGCCACCTCACAGTAAGGCCCTGGTGTAACCAGCGATCAAGTTGAAGAAGGAGAGGCTGGGGCACAGCAGTGTGGCTCCAGAGATGAGCCCTTGCCATTAAATTGCCTCCTGCTGCCATGGCAACTCTGCGGCAAGGCTT